GCTGTGATGACGTCACATACGCGCTTTCGTTGACTGCGCTTTTGTCTACCGCGGTTTTGTGGTGGAACCATTTGTTCCATCGACCAGTTTCTTTTAAGGCGGGTAGTTAGTTACTCAAACTCTTGTACTTTAGCACAATAAATGTGCTCAAAACTCTTAAATGATTCTTGGGTACTCACTAGTCCAAGTCTTCCAACTTCATTTAAAATCTTGTTCAAGTATCTTCTAAAAACATGAATGCTGTTGCTTTCGTGTAATTTGACTTTATATTTTTTTTCATATTCATCAAGCTGAAAAAAAAATAAAAGTCCTCCAAAAGTTATCTCTGGTACAAATTGATGGGAATATAAGAAGCAGATCTGATCATTCTTTCACATCTAGTAGTAATACTGTAAACTCAAAAGTTTTGGAAAACAATTCAAACAAGAATGAAACAAATCCTAAAATTGAAATTTCCATCTGAGATATTTTGATTATATTTTCCTAATATAACCATATAAAACATACATGCCTTCAAAGGATACTGAATTAGCTGTATATGTGCGAATTGTTGCAAGGATAGTATACGCCTTTCCTTAGAAAGGATGTTTGATCCTGTCTACGGAAGAACAGCTAACCAAGTTATGGGAGTATGCTTTAATATCAGATTAATTTCATATCTTAAAAATAAATCTAACACAGAATTTATTCTAGATTACAATTTAATACACAGATTTATATCACATCCAAAATTCGGGTTTCTTTATGCGTAAAATCAATATTTCAATTTTATAGGATTTCAAAATTAGATCAGACTTTTTAATAATATGGAAAATTGAATCACAAGGCTGGAAGGGACTTATAAGGTCACCTAGTCAAACCCCCCTACTCAAGGCAGGAGTCCTTATGCATCCTGGTCAAATTGTTGTCTAGTCTAGAAAACCTCCAGATCTGTTGAATATTATTATTATTAAATTTATTTGTCTCTTATCTCTCTATGGGACTAGGCAGCTCACAATTATAAAAAAACCCTCAAAGAAATAAAAAAGAAGTTTAAACAAAGCAAAAATAAAGTAATTGAATAAAATAAACAAGGAAAACAAAATGAATACATTATGATTAGTAAAAAAGATATAGATAGGATTTATTTTCATTTGTGGCACGACAAAACCGCGCTCGACTAAGCCGCGCCCGATTAAACCGCGCTCGACTAAACCGCGTAGCTGACGTCATCAACAGGGCGACAACAGCGCGGAGACAGAAGCACGCTGTAAACG